AAATGAGGTGTAGTGACTCCTGAATTGCTTTAACTATAATCAGAGATCGCAATAGTGCGTAAACAATATACGAAATCAGTCAGTAAGTCAGCCTTTCAAATCCGTAATCATCAAAATCCAAATTCAGCAAGAGATTTTTAGATTCGTATTTTTACGGGTTCGGTTCGGAAGTAGTGCAAAACCGCTCTAAGTCCACCTTATTTTTTTTTCCGTGCGGAAATTCCCTAGGAGACCACCTATGGGTGGCATGTCGGACTCGAACCGACTAAAGCCGCACGCCGTCTCGGGTACTAATAGCCGGGGAACCAGGTATACCCTAGAAAGGAAGTCCCTGGTGCCCCGACATACCTCGGGCCATCTACAACAACAGGTAGACGACCCCCCCGTGTGGGAACCCCATGTTCCCTCTGCTCCCTGGAAGTGAGCGCTCTTCGCAACGCGCTCGCCGCCACCCCGGCCTACTCTAAGTCCACCTATTCACCAGATGCGTCACAGGGATAAATGCGTCAATGTAAATTAATGTGGCAGCCGTGTACAACGAATTTTAATAAAACACAACTATAAAAACAAAATTAGAGTGAGCGAGACATAGCATATTTCGTCGAATCAGAGCCACAAGCGAATACGTCAGTATATTTAATTTATTCTTAACATTAATAAGCATATTAGTTTTGATATATTCTTAAGTACGTGTGTACCTACAGATAACTCTGTTTAGTTTGAAATTATAAGATTTTGATTAATTACTCCTAATTTTCCCATCTTTAATTCACGAAGATTCACGAATTGATGCCAATGGGCTTGTTCCTTATTAATGTAAGTGGTATATTGCTAAATGTTGGCGTTTAATATGCCTGTGTATGCCCTATGCGATACAGGATTGAGTTGATGTCCACACGTACAGTCTGCAGATACATCTACCAGAAATAATACGAATAAAACTTCCGTTTTACTCGTAGTCCATATAAATCATGCAATAATCATGGAAATAGATATTGTCATGACTGGAGATATAATTTTGGCGTGATAAGCTCAATATTTTTATTTTATAAGTCTTAACAAATTAGTAAACTTTCATTCCTTACTAATACGATGGCTAAACCGCAGTTGCTAAAAAACAAAACATGGAACGCCCATCTGATCATCCTATATCTAATCATAGAATGCCTTCATAGATTTACATATCTAGAGGAAGGCCTATGTCCAGCAGTGGACGTCTTACCACTGAGATGATGATGATACAATTACAATTAAGACTCAAAATGAAACAACTGTCAATCATAACACTTAACTTTAAAACACCGTTGATTTCGATGTGTCTAAATCCTAATATTGTTAAAAGGTAGTTAAGTAAGCTGTAAATTGTCCGTGTGGTGATTAAGAATACGGAGTGTCACCACCCCTATTCATCCCGTGGTTTGTAGTAGTCGACTAAAAGAGCAAACTACGCAGGACAACAACTCTGCAAAGAGAAGGAAAACTTGACACGAACCTTATACCAACCCGTCTGGCCAGCGTGGTATAGTAGGCCAAAACCTCCTTTCTAAGGAGAGGCCTATGTCCAGTCCTTGACTACTTAAAGCTGTTGGTGAAGCTGTATATTGTTTCCATAATATTCTACCATTGAAGGAGGCATAATACCTTGTTGTTAAAAATTTACTCTGATACTTTTTTTTTAAAGTATTGAAATCGATTCATTGGTGCTCATACATATGATTCTCGAAGTCTGTCAACACATCAGATAAAATCGATTACTTTTTCGCTTTATAGACATGTGTTCAAGCCAACATATTAACTTATGATAGCAGATCCATACTTTATATTGATTAGAAATGTGAATGTGAGATTGTTTGTTATGACTGCCTCGGTGGTGCTGTGGTAGCGTATGCGACTGCTGTGCTGAGGTCTCGGGTCCGATTCCCGGGTCGGACCAAATGTTTGTATGATCTGCAAATATTTGTTTCGGAGTTTGGGTGATTTCTGTTTAATATGTATGTATTTACAAAAAAAAAGTATATAAGTATTCTATCAGTGCTTAGTTTTAACCTAGATGGCGTTTTGTGTCAGATGTCCGAAAATATTAAAAAGAAAAAATTTATACGCGAAAAAATATATAGACATATACGCGAGCGGAGCCTCGGTCAAATCCAGTTAAAAATAAAACTAAAATGATTTCCTAAAAGTTACGCAGTATTAGTTTTTTCTTTATGTAACGTGTTTGTTAACAACATTACCTACTGTCTAAAAAAATAATGTTTTAGGGTTCATTGTGTCTATAAGTTTATTTAATTCTTCTGATTATATGAGTTCTAGTTAATTCTGCATAAAAAATAATCGACTTGATGATAAGCGGTTGCTAGTGTCAACACTTTATATAAGCAATGTTTATCGCAATTATCATACCAGGTACAGTTTACATGGGCTATAATCGCGGCTCAACACGGTCAGTGTGACCTGGTCGAAACGTCAGGCAATTCACAAATAAATAATATTTACTACTACGTGATCATGGAACGTGATATCATGTCATGAAACACGAATTTTTTAAAGAAAGTTAAATAGGTATGCTTTCTTAACAATTAAGATACTTAAATTATTTTATTACAATAAATTTTTAATTAATTAATTTATTATTATAACAATAAAGCTTATTAGCTAAGATACTTTTTTCAATGGCGTAGTGGTTTAAGCGGTCACCTTTCTTCCTACTGCGCTGAGGTTTGAAAGTTCGATGCCCACGTGGAACAGCACTTTGTGTGATCCACAAATTGTTGTTCTGAGTTGAGGTGTTCGTTTCATGTGTGTCTGTAAAGTCCCCCGTAAGTACACAGAAAATATACCTAGTGCGGGAGATGTCTTTATAAAATTTATAATTACCTACATTTTAAGTGGTGCACGCAATTTTACTTGTCGAACTTATTATTGACTAAGAGTCCATTGTAATGTTTAACTTCACCAATGAGATTGTAACATAGCTGTTAAGTTTCCAAATTAATAAATAATTAATAAAATTAAGTTGGTGCAAACGCGAACCTAGTGTAAGTTTCGTAAAAGTGTGTTTATTCTAAAGATATACTTATTTAAATAAACTTGGGAAAGACCGGACCGACCGGTCTGGTATCACGGCCTCACAGAGAACCGGTGTCAAACAATTCTTTCAACGCTTTTTGCATAGTAAGTCCTCTTTACCCACCCAACTTTTTATTTATAGCTGGGTAAACGACGCTCCCCTATTCAATAAAAAAAAATAGTAATCTTAAAAAGCAAAACATTAACTAAATAGAAATGTTCATCAAAATCGTTGGAGCCGTTTTCGAGATTCACGACATTTTTCTAAGTACATACACTGACGCTTCAAATCCAGGGTAGGCAGAGAAAGTGTAACACCAGCTTCCATGATCCTTACATAAAGTCGGGTCTCTTTCATATTCTTCCCTACCTAAATTTTCGCGGTTACGGGTGCTTTTTAATAGGCAGTATCGGGGCCTGCCCGCACCAGCTCGCCCACTCACACACTTAGAAATAATTCTAGTCATTCTCTTTTTTGCTCATCCTTGCAACAGCCCAAACTATCGCATTATCTTTTACTCAATACTTCTCTACATCTTCTTTCAACCCGCAATTTTCTTACCTGATCATTCCTTACTCTGTCAGTCAATCCTACACTAGACATATGTACTTCTTAGTGAGTGCATTTCCACAGCATACATTTTACTTTATACCTACATATAATGTCAAGCTGATAGATTACCGTATTGACATTTAAAATACATATACATAATAACTTGCCCTAACAGAGTAAATGCTGGGGCATGTAATTATAGCATCTGATGCTTTTTATGTTGTAAACATCCTGTAATAAAGAATATATGGCAATTTCAACCCTAAGGGGATAAAACAAGGGATGAACGGTTGTATGAAAGTTTGTCATTAGCAGTTAGAAACACGAAATAAATTTAAAATGAAATGAAAAAAATTATGTACTTTTAACGTAATGACGACAAATGCTTTAATTTATGCAAATCACGTTGAAATTTCTTAGTTTCAAAGTTCGTTATTATCGATTTCTATTACATAATACTTAACTAAAGTTCATAACACGTCTAACTAATACATGTTAAGTGACGTAAGTAGATATTAAATTACAAAGTATCATCAAAACAATAGTTTTGTGTGATTAGTAGAAAGTCATTTAACATCGAGTTACTACTAATCTCAAATTAATTATCTTCAACATTTAAGCAAAATTACAGACAACAACATATTTATATTAACTAGCTGGAACCCGCGACTTCGTTCGCGTGGAATTTTAAAAGCGCTGCCTTGGTGGGTTCGATGCCCGGACCGGGCAAAATTTAAAAAAAAATCTGTTGGGAAAAATAGCCTAAGTTATTCCTTATGTAGACAGCTACCTGATAGTAAAATATTATCGAAATCGGTCCAGCTGTTTAGAAGATTACCCGGGACAAACAGACAGACAGACAAAAAAGGTTTTTAGGCATAGGTATCGTGCAAATAACCGACATTAGAAACAGACACTTCAATTTTATTTATTTGTATAGATGTATAGATAAATTTATATTAAGAAAAAGGAAGTAGTCATTCAATACTGCATAAAAATACGTATAGATTCTTATTACAATGTTACCAACCAAAAAAAAACAATTCAAATAGACAATATAATTATTACGGAATAAATTATGGTAGCGTTCGTAGCTTTTCTCCTAAATATAAGTAAAAATGTAATTTATTAACTCTATCTTACAAACAATACAGAATAAATACTACAAAAAATTATTGGTTGTCACTAATTTAATAAATTGATATTGATTAGTATTGATTTGAAATGCAGTTATCAACTTGTCAATGAGCAAAGGTTATTGAACCATGACAATCGGAAGACCCTTCAGCTGTATTCAAAAAATTTTTATTGAAACACATTTAATTGCTGCAAATATATACACAGATTCACGTTCGTATTTCAATAGGTAAGTACTTACATGCCCATTTTCCTTTCGATTTAAAATCCACTTTATTAATGGCTGGCCCAATCGCGTAAGAATATAAAATATTAATTACCCACTTCAGTACGTAAAACAACAAAACTAATGAAACCACAACACCGACTATTTCAAGTGAAAAATATAAGGACATTTTTGAAAAATAAATAATTGACTAAACTTGTTATTAAAAAGTGAGAGGTTATGTTCCGGAGAGAGTCGCGTCACCGTTTGACACAGTTCGCGCATGCGTACTAGCGGTCGAAGAAAGTTGCCATGCGCACTGAATGAGCGAACGAGTGATTTGAACGGCGCGGCCCGGAAGCCACCGAACCCCGGCCGTTTTTATGAACGCGATAGCAATAAAATATCGCGCCGTCTCTGTCTGACTGAATGATAACTACAAAATATAACGCGCATATGTAGGTCATCCAGAGCATTTAAAGGAAACGTACTATAATTATTATTTAAAACTTGTAAATGTAATTAGTATTTGGAAGCCAAGGTAATTGCAATTCTTGTTTATATTTCCTTAAAAGTTATTTTACTTATAACAGTGATCTACTTTATATAATATCATAGCAGAAAACAGTAACCGGCAAGCATGTGATAAGCCTAATGAATGTCGAAGAGGCGCAGCGAAGTATGTCTGGATCATGTCAATTAATGTCATTCTATCGTAGTTCAGTGTGGACAGACCTACCATGAACAGGAATATGGCCTGATGGTACTTATGTAGCCAGTAATTCAGGCTTTCTCGCGGGATTTGTTGTTACACATCCATTCAAACTTTCGCATTTATAATAGTACACAGTAAGAAGTGACTAATGTATTCTAACGTTACGAGATCCTAAATAAGGTGTCACCGAAGCGCGATATTAGTGCTTTCCAAATTTAATTTCATGCCTACGAGTATTATACTCCTTTATAACGCCTTTTTCTACTCTATATAACATAGTTCAACGTCTGCTATTAATACCCAAATACATTGTTAGGATTAGGGATTTCTTTCTCACTTAAATAACGTATTCACTGGTTCCAGACAAAAAAGTAAGCCGAAATCATCAAAATAAATAATTATATAACTAAAACTTTGCACACCTTCATAAATAGCAGTCTGATCCTAAACCAGGCAGCGTCTGTGCTATGGTGAAAAACGTACGTAGTGACAAACGTACTAATAACTTGTATTTCTAAATCCATACATTTTATGGAAAAATTACAGCTTTGTTGCAATTTGTACAGAAGAAAATTATCATGCTCATCACATAATAATTTGTCCCAGGTGGTAATCAAGCCCATGACCGGTCTGGACCAACATACCATACAATACAATACACACAATATAATAGTACGGGAGCTAGCAACGTTTGGAAAGTAAGAATTTTAGGACAGCTGACATTAATTCGATTGTTAAGTCGCATCATCATCATCAAAATACTAATCTCATGTTTACTCAACTCTTGCTCAGGCACATTATTTTCAAAAGTAGTGAGATATGAAGAAGTTGATTTTTAGTGAAAATGTGTCTTGTTACTACTCGTACTAGCATCATACTGCAATACTTTTCATGACTTTTTAATTTTAATTCAAGACTTAACAATCGAATTAATGTCTGGCAAATTTATTTTAAGTTTTTCTTATCTTTAAATAACATAATATTAAAATTACAGACATTATAAAATACTTTGAAATTTTATAAAAAAAAATAAAACAAAACGCGTATGGCACATAGTTAGCATTGTCAAAAATGTCTGGCAATAAAAAAGTATGTCAGGTAGACTTATTTAAAAACAAAAAATTAAAAATTACGCCTTCTAAAATGTTTTTAAAATACAGGATTATTACCTGGACAGGTAGGATGCGCACTAATGAACGCAACCGCTACCGCCAGCCAGATAGCCCAGATTCTAACCGAAAGTGCAAGAAGGACGACATATCACAAAATCAGCTGTCCTAAAATTCTTTCTCGAAAACGTTGCTAGCTCCTATACCATAATGTCATGTTAAATACGAACAAATCCTCTGGAAGTCAGGGCGTAATATTTTCTGATAATCGGCTAGAAATCTGTGCAATGGTAGTAAAAATGCCTCTAATTTCTCGTTGTCGTTGCATTTCTGCCAAAATTATGGACTTGACTTCTTGAATTAAGGGTAAATTAATTGGCCAATCAAGGGTCATTTTAATGGTAGGGTCTAGGTATCTTCTCTAGTTTTAAGGTTACTTGCAATCTTAAATTAACATCACACACACTGTTCTGTCCACTTGAAAGGGTAGGCAGAGTCTTATTAACCACTCACGCTAATAATATTTTGCTCTCTTTCTCTAATAAGTGGCGATTTATAGTTGATTGCCAACAGAATGGGGGAACTATTAAAAAAAGGAAAAATACGAAAGAAAGGGATCGATTAGGAAGTGTGAGATATTGTTCGAGAAAGACTGAATCGCATACCTGTAACCCTGACTGGCCAATGTCGGACTGCAAATCCTTCTACGGCTTTAAACATCTTTAAGTTGCTGATTAGATGATCGAAACGTTGGTCAACCATAAAGAAAAACGGCCTTTATGAAGTAGCTGCACTGCACGGATGGCGTAGTGGTTTAAGCGGTCGCCACGCCACTTACTACTACGCTGAGGGTTCAATCCCTACTTGGGACGACATTTTGTGTGATCCACAAATTGTTGTTCTGAGTCTGGGTGTTCTTTGTGTCCGTTTCATGCATGTTTGTAAAGTCCAGCGCGACACAGGATATATTCCTAATGCGGGAGTTGTCTTTGTTAATAAAAAAAAAAAAAACAAAAAAGCTAAAAGATAAAGATAAACATACATAAAACAAACATTCCGACGAATTGAGAACCTCCTCCTTTTTTAAGGCGGTTAAAAAGGGTGATTTATCACTTTTCTAACGATGTAAATACATTCAGCATTTACCGGAATTAGGAAGTATGAGTAATGTACATACACATTTATGTCTTGTATTTGTAATAAAGAAAAATAAGATACATAATTTAATACCTTTAAACGAGCAATTCTTGTATATATTTATATAATGTAAATCTCGGAAATGGCTCCAACGATTTTCATGAAATTTAGTATGTTTCGGGGGCGATTAATCGATCTAGCTAGGTTTCATTTTTAGAAAATTTACTAAAAAAATCATGAGGTCATCCAGGTACTATTAAAAAAAAATCAATTGCGCCCGAACGACTAGATGTACGTACCTAGATGGAATTCGACACAGAAACAGATATTCATTGTGGAACCTTACTATTTATCTCGGAAAATCAATATTAATACGAAAAGCCAGAGACAAAAGCTGTAATAAAATAAAACTGTCATTTATAATGAAAAATCGTTTATCACTGCCACTGAATCAAATCACAACAATCCTACGCCTTCGGTAATCAAGGAAATCGGTGGAAAGTTTGGATACATCCATTACGTTGATGTAATTTCACTAATTAGTTTCCGATGTCCGTCGAACACCATTTGCGAGAGAGGTATCATTATAGATATATTCTATTCTAATTGATTAATGATTAGGTAATGTTTGAATCATTATGATTTGCGGTTTGCTACTGTAGGTATGTTATTTAGCAATGCTTCGCATGCGTTGTTAATTTGATAGTCGGTAAAAGGTTGAATTTCAAAACCAAATAATAACAAATAAAATGTATCCCTTTTGTATATAATATATTTAATAGTTTGCTATACAAACGCAAAATATATACGACAAACGATATTTTTTTTTTGCGGTGAACGCGCCAACATGTGTCTTTTTTGGGTAAAAATGGACTAGGTTCAGTACGACCCCAATTTGAAACCTCCGCTAAGGAAGTTTTAATTTGCTCTCGTGCTATCATCTGCATAGTAATGAATGCTATTAGTTTGCGACATATCACTGATATGCAGAAGAAACAATGTGTGTGTTAGCCCTCCAGCTGGTATGTAAATAAATGAGACAACACAAACAAACGATAAAAATAACAAACGTTTTATATCTCTAATTGGTTCTGAATAAAATAACTTTGAACCTACAGCCGATTCCCTGCGTATTTTTCTATTAAGTGTTCATAAACATTTATTGAATATATTAGTTTTGTTTGAAAGGCGTTACGAATTTGATAGGTTTATTTTAATGCGATACCACGGTTACTGAGACTTAATGGTTACGTGCCAATATATATTTATTAACCTACGTTTTACTGTGTGGTTTTATTTACAATAAAAAAAAGACAAATTGAAAAATAAGCTGATAGTCAACCGCACAGGAATCTGGATAAGTTTCGTCATTTGATAGCGGCACATCAAAACTCTTTGAAAAGTCTTTTCTGTAGCCCGAAAAAACATAAAGATAATCGGTTAAGTAATTACAATGTCGTCGAACAAAAACAGTGTCGGGCTCAGAATAGGGCCTTGTGGGACTCCGGCTTTTATCCCTACGTAATGAGAATAGTTAACTATTATTTATACTACAATTTCCTTACGAAATAACAAATTATTATTATTATAATTAGCGTAGTATACCTGGTCTATGTTATTTAAAGTTTTATTAGTCATGTGATTATTCCGATAATATCAGTCCCTGCTCTTATGGAATCTCTCTGTATTAGATTCAATCGAAGGCCTTGGTTATATTTAGACTGTTGACTATTCTTTATCATTATGTCTAAAGAATATCGACGAATGTCTAAAGAATATCTTTAATTCCAGAGTAAGAGTTGTTCTCAATGTACGTAGACGGTTGTCTATGTAATGTATGAATTTTTACATATCTTTAAATACAAAAATGTTAGACGTTAGTTGAAACTATTACATCATTTGTTTTTATATCAGTACGATCAAGAAATCGACGTATATTCTGTCAACTGTACCTGCTTTGTCGCTGCCTAACTTTGCCTTAAAGTTAGTCTTCCATCGGAAGGGAAACTTAAACGGCACCAAAGTTATTATGATATATTGAAGGCAATTTTAATTAGCTTGTAAACTTCCTCGTTCCTCGAACAAGTCAATCAGCCCAGTTTGCTATAGAACTATCAAGAGTTCTAATTACGAAGGTTCTAACACTAAGATTCAGTTTGTAACTACTCTGAAGTAGCAAGCCCGCCATTGTTTTTTTTTGCCTATGGTTCTACCTTAATTTTGAACAAG